AGTAAAGGACATCTCCAATCCACAAGGTAACCGCAGTTGATGACCAGGACTAGTGTCTTTCTTTTGCACTGCTTCTCATTTCCATTCTCATAGAACTACGGCAACTGTAATAAAAAGAAGAGGTTGACCTCATCCTCGAGCTGAGGTTGATTTTCGAAACTTTTTCTTTTTGAAGGATGCGATAGCGATCAAAGGAGGTGGTAATTAGAGGCTGCTAACTTTGTTAAATAACTTGAGAATGGTCGCATTCTCTGATCGAAACCCATGATCTTTTGGCGTAGCCTGATCCCCACATGCGGTCCTCGCATTACCGAGTAGTAGAGAAAAATTGAGTATTTCTGAATGAATTCAAGCGTGACGTCATCCATATTTTGAAGTCGATTAAGGTGAACTGTGGTCCTTACAGCGGTGCTGGTATACAACGATACCGCTTTGAAGTCCAACCAATAACACACTGAAATCTTTATCCCATGCACATCTGATTTTGGCTAAGCAATCTACTTTACTGTTTGGAGATCCTGCGAGGGACATGTGCATGATGTACGCAAGGACTGCAACAGTCACTACCAACCACGAGGTCTCACAAAAGTTCTTTCGCTGTGTACAAGAAGAAGAAAACTTAGTCACGGTCATTCGGTATGACTTGTCAGATGGGTCCAACTCATAAGGCATCCTTCACCAAAAAATTTTCCGATAACCGAGATTGCGGAGAAGCATGGCAGTTATCAGTCAGGTGGAGCCTAGAGAGGTTGCCAATTCACTGGTGGTTACGTTCGGCTGCGCCTCAAGAAGCTTGAGTAAAGGCCCATCATTCTGTGCTGATGGGCGACCTGTACATTGCCTAACTACGAGTTAAATAAGTCCAGCCTAGAAGCGCTCATGCAAAAGCTACCCTCTTTCATGGCAGGCGATATCCTTCCTCAAGACAACGTAGGTGTCAGCTTCCTCGACTACGGCGGAGTGGCCCTACAGGAACTCATAATGTGGGATAGGTCGAGAAGTACCTCAAACTCTGAGGGACTTTTAGGCTTTGAAAACTTCTTCAAAGTCATGATATACCCATGTGCAGATACCCCAGAGGACACTCTCCACTAATCAGGGATAAAAACATCCAAAATGGTTTTTGGTCTTTTTCTAGATTAATCCGATCAAAGTGTCGCAGGACTTTTCGAACAACTTAATAACTTTGTCCAGAGAATAGTTCAACAAATATGGATGGCAGATTTGTAATCAGCGTCCAAGGGCCTATCGGGAAGTGTTTATCTCATTTCGAATGGTCACTTCGACCAACTATCCTTTACTGATAAGTTCAGGTTACATACTCAGATCTAAGGAATGAAGTAGGGGATGTCAATGTAAGTTGTGACGCCTTCGTTTAGTACAGTGATGGATGAAGGAATTGCATGACTTGGATAACTCAGAAGACGACTGTGATGACAATCAGGTAGAAGAATTGTTCAGTTAGATGGAATTTATTCATAAGGGACCACTCGGCCACCATTTTCTAGAAGATCAGGTGTTAAGAGTATTCAGTCGGTGATGAGATCGCGCCGTTAGATTTCTATTCTTTGTATGGGAATGACTAACTCTCCTGATTTCAACAGTAACCAACCGATATGAGGAACAGTCCAAACTTCTAGCGAACTAAGCTCGCAGAGCTGCAGAAGGATCGATTAAAAATTATCATGTGAATTGCAACTGCCGTTTCATGGGCTGATATTACTGAAGCAAACGAAACCGCTTCAATGAACGCCCCACTTCAAGCCATAGATAATGTAGAAAAAGGAAAACATACTGAGCATATATTTGTCGAGAGTGACTCGAAAACGCATGTTTTTTAGAAGAAATCGACTCACAGCAAATGCGCGGAACCCCGGCACCCCAGAGGGAGTATGCGGGTGTGCTGCTGACAATTTAAGAGGCGTTCAATGTGTTAAACACCGAAACGACCTTACTCTTACACCGAAATCATTGCAGCATAGAGAAAAATGCTCAATTCAACACAGGTTTTTAGTCAACGCCTTGGTAGCCTTAGTTCACTTTTCCCCCACCTCTGGGCTGCCCTGGTACCGCTTTATGAGTTTTCGCGTGTGACACCGCTCACTTCCCACATGCCCCGCCCACCGTAAGCGAGGCTTGCTTCAAGGTTGCGTGTGCTCTGTACATTTTGTCCCATACCCTATCGTCCCGTGTCAAGCTTGATTTTATTTGTTCCCATTGCCTCGTAAGTAGAATTGAATTGGTTGCTCTTTGAGTAGAATCGAATTGCCGGACAGAAAACAACCAAATAAATGAATAGACTTAGGAAATCCCAATTTACATAATTTGCTACGTCTGGTGAGAAAAGTGGTACAGCGCGCACGCAACCTACGCCAAGCCCTGCCCACTGTGGGCGGGGTATGCGCGGAAAGTGAGCGATATCACAGACAAAAATTTATAATTCGGTCCCAAAGTAACCCAGAGATGGAAATATAGTGTAAAAAAATATATCGGCGGGCCTTAGTTGAGGTGGGCGGCGCTTCTTGGACAATGCTTGGTGATGATTCTGTCTAAAATCGGTGCATGCCGAGAAGCTACATGATTAGATCTATTTACTTAAATTACTGATTGAATTTATATCTATGCTTCTTTCCTTTTGTTGCCGTTTTATGTGCCATTGCTCGTCGACTGAACAAATAGATGAATATTTGAATAAAAACTTCATAGACGGAAAAAAGGGACGAGGTCAGAGCACTTCAGAAACCGAAAGGATGAGTTAAGGACAGCAAGGAGGCCGTCTTGAGAGGAGGAAAGCACACTCATGTGGGCGGAGCGTGCGTCGAGGTGGAAGGAGCCAAACTTAGAAATTCGTGAATTCTGGCGAGAGCTAGACGTGTCCTTCGAGCCTGAGATCCACCTACAGTGAGCAATCAAATCTGAGTTTCATGCATAGGCAGCCCCCCCGCAAGTGGATGCCCGCCTACCTCCTTTCGTATGTTTGAATACTCAACTGATACCCGGTCTTTCTCTTATCTGTGGGCTTGCTTAACGCCCACCACTGTTCCATGGACGGTCATAGTGTTGAAAGCCCTAGGTTTGATGCTACTAGTTAAAGACAGGCCTCGCGCTCGAGCAACTCGTAAATGAAGTTCCTTGCACAACTACTCTGGCCCGCAGTTTAAGATTATCCTACATTCGCGGCTTCATAGTAGGTGACAAAAGCGCTGTGACCCTCACAGTGGCAGCTCTGAAGCTCCACAGTTGTTCCGCACACCGAAACTCAAAGGCTATTCCCTGCCACAAGTTCAGTTTTTACACTATGTTTTCGATATATGTTTTAGTTTACGTTACGAAGAAGGCGAATCCGCCCATAGGTCAGCCGATGAAAAGCTTATAACAACTCGTCAAGCAGTTTGAAAGACATCACAACAACTACGTTTTCCTTTTTTCTATTGTTTGATGGCATTAGTATTGAATGACGCGGAGAAACCATTAGTGACCTAGGGGCGGCAGGATATACCTTCCTGGTATAAAGTGAGCAGGTCCGCAAAACTTGTCTACAGAGCTTCCAGGTCTTCATTCTGGTTGTTCGCCACGTTTTTTTTTCGCGTCTCCTGCCCTAGAGAGTTATTTACCGACTACCGGTTTTACGTGAGCACCACTATCCACAATATACAATCGGGGTATCAACTGAGTATTCATACATAAGAAGAAAGGAACTAACGGCGAAGCCGTTCCCGCCCGACAAAGCCGGTCTGTATAATGGAAGCAGGCGCGCTGGTGTCAGCCAGCCGACTGGTTACATATAATAAGAACGGCTATAAATCCATCAAGGGCTGAAATATGTCGTACTGACACTCGCGCACGCATTACTCCTATTCTGCTGATTTGCCAGATCGATGGTTATAGTTTTCCTCGCAAGCACTCCTCAAGTCTCCAGCCCAGCAAATAAAGAGACATCGCCAGGCTCGCTATCAATCAGGTTAGTAGTGTACGACTGGATGAATAGCAGTATTTAAGTGAAAAAATTGAGTGAAAAATTTATGATAATACATGCCATTAGACGAGATTCTGCCCTTTATGAACGTGACATTACAAGGCTTACTATCAATATCAATCAGGTTTGATAGTGTACTACACTGATCGTCTTTATCGTAGTGCACGCAATCAAGAGGTAGCTGTATAAGCGGCTGTTTTCAATGCGCTGAAAGCCCTTCTCGAAATTCAGAAATGCGAGGGTCAGTCGCACAGTCAATGCACAAAAGCGTGTCCTATGTTGGACGAGTGCGGACCAGCGAACTGATGGAAATCCTGCTCAAACCGCTACATGGCAGAGCGCGCCCCAACGCGAACCCAAGTTAATCGCTTTTGTTTTATATTTTCTTTCTTGATTCAGGATAGAAATGATCAAAAAGCGTGGGAGCTTCATTTTTTTACTGTTTTTTTTTTCTTTTTTCTATTCGTCAGCTTATACATGAGGTTATGAAGTTTTCACCTGTTGTTGCGTAAAATGATTACTGCTTTGGTTCCAAGGTGAGTTTCTTTCTGTTTCTTTTTTTTTGTTATTTGAACTCTACTTTTAAACTATAAATGTTTTAGAGGTTGAACACTTCAGACGATAAGAACTTTTGAGGCGCTTGTACCCAGGAGATGGAGTTGGTCTTATCCTGACCTAAAAAGAAGTGAAACCTCCTTACCTCACATTCCAGATCCGCTTTTGTATAGAAATTAGTAAGTTATCAGTTGGTAGCCATTATTAAGAGAATCACAGGTTGGACTCCCTTATTTATCAAGCGAGCGGTCCATGGTAGCGCTGGGGCGCGCTCTGCCACGTACCGACCATTGAGGCTATTGCCGCTGCTGTCCGAAGTATGAACGCTGCCTAATGTGTCAACCTTCTTAGCTAAAACAATTGATAAGCGGCACCTGCCGCTGTGCAACCCTCACATAGGGGAGGCTATACGAAATTTACAAAGATGGACAACCAGGTCAGGATTCCGAGAAAGAAAAGAAGAATCCAGTCAAGCAATAGCTGCTGACTTACCACTTGGCAGCCATGGTGGCTTTTCTCCACCGGCTGCGTTGGGACGACCGCTATGATGGAACATCTGAAGAGAGAAAAAATAATTGTGACAATAATTATAAATTGTGATAAAAATAATAGCTGTGAAAACTTCCAAAAAGCGGCGACAATTTGCAAATATCATTACCACAAAACAGCTTCAAAACATATAAATGCTGCGTTGCGGTTCACTGCTGGTATCGGTTACCGGCAGATCATAAGCAAAATAAACTGTATGCTCATTTCTGCGTATCCTGCTCTTTGTTATCTGTGGGAAAAGGGGTCAGCATTTGGAGTAGCGTGTCACTTCTTCACTCAGGAAGGCACAGGAGGTGGGAAGCTTGTTATGTCTGGGTGCCTACTCCACGTTCCGGCTACACAGCCGCACGGCCAGCCACCTACTCAATCATTCCGAGCGCATTACTTATCAGCGCCTCCTCACTTCTGGTTGTTCTCTACCGCTGAGACGTGTCACTGCGAGATTTTGGGATCGACGCGAGTGGTATACATTGAGAAAAACGTATGTAGAGTCAGAAGACGGTACCCGGATAACAATACCCTCCAGTCCGCCCTTTCCCATGTACTATTGAGCAGAGAAAGCAGCATGCTACTGCAGCAGAGGACCCATTCACTTCGCACATCGCAAGATCATCCTTGAAAGTGAGCGTGGAGTTTATCTTCAAACGTGTGAGTACTGTGAACCCAAAAGCCATTGTGCTGGAAGGCTGAGAGTGGTCCAGTGGCATAACACATACCGCACTCTCCCGAAAAGCGCGAGAAGAACCCCGACTGAAGTCAAGACTTTCATCATTAACTCGGCATTTTTGTGATAACTTCTAAAGCTCCAACTGTAGCATTGAACATTGAATAATAGAACTGAATTCAAAAACAGTAATTCTTACGCTTCCCATAGCTATTTGTTCACCTGGTCCAGTTCAGCGAGAGCACTGTATTTGTCACTATTGTCACAATTTCTCGTAATAGGTGCCCGTTCGCAGAAGGTAGCAGCATTCAATGATTGTGTATCCTCTGATGCCTGAAATTAAAAAAGCAATGGCGCTGAACAAAGTCAAAATCCATCAAAAAGTAAAAGGTCTAAGATGGAACGTACTTGGGATTGGAATGGATTAAAAAGTTGTGAGGTGTTCGCCGGTTGTGGAATAGGGAACGAAGTGTCTACCGTAGCGGATTTTGGAAGCGGTTGAACTACAAAGCCAGTCTTGTAGCGCGATTGAAACAGAGCAGTAGAAAAAAAATTTGCGCAACAAGTAAGCACACCTGGCAAAGGCGATTCAAACGCATTAACAGTAGACGAGCTCTTCAAAACAAGTTCGCTGAATTTCGCATCAAAATCAGCAAAAGGATCGAACTCCGTTGTTGCGCTTTTGGCAGAAACTGGAGCGAAGGGGTCCGCTACCTTCAACATTCTATTAGTGGAGTCCGCTACCTTCAACATTCTATTAGTATCTCCATGAAATTAGTGTTCACCTGAATAATTAAAAAGTACCTGTGTTGCGGAAGTGTGCTGCACAGGGGGTTTGGTTGGTAGCGGTGGTGGCGGTGCAACGAATGCAGGAGGAGAGAACGGTTGCGTAGGTATCGCTTGCGCCTGAGAAATGGTACATAGCTGACAATGGCGTAAGGCTGACGCAGCTAAGATAAAGTGGTAAGAAACACGTGCTGTTATAAGACAAGAAGTGCTGAAAAGAACTCTCCCAGGGGGACTAGGTAAGAGTCGGAAGTTGCTCCAAAAATCAACGAAAAAAGGAATGACAAGAAGCGACAGGGATGCTAGCAAAGGCGGGCCAGGAATCCTGTTGAGCAAAAACAAACTATACTCTACCTCGCTGCAGACAAGGGGATGTGTCTGGCGAGATGAGTTGGGCGCTGTGCGAAACCCGTTCTCCACCAGTTGCTGAAGCGAGCAATTGACAAGACTGTATCATATAGTTCGTATCACTCGTTTTCGACCAGTTGTTGTCCCTGCTTTAATAACTGGCAGAGACGGGTTTGGCACACTCATACAGCCTGACACACGCCTTCATCCAAAGCAAACTAAAGTATATATTATCTACGACGCATAAGCAAAAGAGAACATAATACCGGGGGGGGGGGACAAAAAGTCACTTTTCTTCATTTACTTAGAGGCACTATAAGGTACACTTTATTAAATTCTGATCGGACATTTTCACCACCGTATTAAAGAGCATATTAAATACTATCATGACACTCCGTCACAGCCTCCTGGACAGAGCCATCGAAAGATTCTGGCACGCGATCGCGATGTGGTGCCTGCGATCAGCGAGATAGTCGATTTCTCCGCCACCGTAGACCACCCTATTGAACTCTGCCCGAACCGGGTACTTGAGGGGAATCAGGCCAGATGACCTACTTGGATATTCCATCTTTTCTAGGTACTCAGCCCCCCTTCCATTCCAAGTAGGCGAGAGTTTCCCCAATGCCCTTCGATTCCATGTGGGGGCACCCAATACTGTAGCAGTACAAAGTTTCCAAGAAGGTACGGGCGACCACATGTAAGGAGGATATTCTTCACGAGTTGCTCAATGTAATCACCAGCGCTCACCTTCAGTACGGGGTCCACGAAGAAAATATTGGTCTTTCCATTACGGGTACCTCCGGTCCATACCATCAACCCGCTCCTTGGCGATGGTGGTGAAGACGATGTCCTAGACCGTGGCGACGTTGTCGGAGCTGCTGGATGTTATAGATCATCCAGATCGAGAGTACTGGCCTGCAGGTAGCTATCCATGATTGACTCCATGATAAGAGGTTTTGCAGGTGTTTAGAGGTGACATGAATTCCAAAGGTCTTCTTCAGTCAGGCTGCAAGCGGAGATGACTTCATATTTTGGTGTACATGAAGGTGATGGGCGAGAGCCTAATCCTGCTTATAGAGGAACATCTTGGGGTGGTGATGTCCGTTCCTCCAAGTGGTGCCACCGGGACCTGCTCGCTTTTGCGGGCTGAGCTGAACACGGACGAACTCGAAAGCAGGCGACAGGCCTTCGTGACGGGCCGGCTTACGAACACCCCATGTCACATCATCATGTCCAACTATACCTTATGAATTACGAGATAATGCTACGGCGTCCGCGGGAGCCGACGCGCACTCGCATGGCCCGGCGAGTGTGGAAAGTATGCGAGGGTCCTCGTTGCAAGCCCGGTTGCATCGAGGAGCAACCGGGCTAGTCCGAAAGACGCGCAATGTGTTGAAGGCCAGCCCATCTCGTCTCGTGCAAGAGACGAGATGGGCTGGCTGCAAGTCGAAAGAGTTAGGCCGCGGCTTCTAAGCCGTTCTTTGTGGCGGGCCGAAAACTACAAGTGGTGTGGCGTGTCAGAGCGATTTCGCGATACGATTGTGAGCGTAGATCGTTTCGACGACCGTTTAATGAAGATTGTTGTCGCTATTGAGCAACGACTTTACCACTTCTTCTCTGCATATGCCCCACAAACTGGATGCTCTGAGCAGTCCAAGGACGAATTCTGGGCTCTGCTGGACGAGAAGACGGCTGAAGTGCCACCAAAAGACGGTATTAAAGTAGCCGGCGATCTAAACGGACACGTGGGAGCTGCAAAAGACGGCTATACTTGTCATGGCGGATTCGGTTACGGTTCCCGGAAGATGGTGAGCGAGTCCTTGAGTATGCAGAGTCGCATAACCTCGTCATTCTGAACACACGGTTTCGTAAACGTGATTCTCATCTTATCACGTTCTACAGCGGGAGTACCAAGACCCAGATAGACTTTGTACTCATCAAAGGCATGACGACCAAGGACTCGTGACAGACGCGAAGGTAGTACCGTATGAACGGTTGCCACGCAGCACCGCCCACTTATCTGTACGCTCAGACTTGTAGCTCCCAGATCGAGGCAGAGAACGATGGGCCCCTGAAAGAATAAAGTGGTGGCGACTCAAGGAGCGGGAAGCAGCTGTGATTTCTCGTATTCGACTACCGGAAGTCACAACTGTTCAGGAGACCTGGAACAAAGCCGTTAACTCTATAATCCAGGCGCGCCACTCCGAACTCGGCACAACGAAGCGCTGGAAGGCGGAGGATCGACAAAGAGGCATTTCTGTGGACGAATGACGTCAAAGCGAAGGTTCGAGAAAAGAAGAGGTCCTATCACGCATTTCTCGATCACAAGTCGGCCGACAACTGGCGGCAGTATCGGGAAGCGAGGAAGGCGGCAAAGACGGCCGTGGCTGCTGCGAAGGCCGCTCACTTCGATGATATCAGCAAAAACCTGGAGACGCGCGACGGTGAGCGGTACCTGTATGGACTTGCCAAATCTCGTCATCGTCAAACCGAAGACATTGAGAAGTTTTTTGGCATAAATGATGAGAATGGCCAGCTTCTGATGGACCGAAAAAGTCACAGCGCTGGTTTTCTGCGGGTTTGTTGACGAAACTCTTCAACCAGATCGTCAAAGAGAAGAAGGTGCCCAATGACTGGAAGCAGAGCGTGACGATCCCGGTTTGGAAGAAGAAGGGCAGCCCAGCAGACTGCTCAAACTATCGTCCAATTCGCCTTCTTTCACACACCATGAAAGTCTTTGAGCGAATTATTGACGCCCGCGTTCGTGATATCATCCAGCTTTCCACCAATCAGTGTGGCTTCGTGGCGGGTTGTAGCGCTGTCGACGCTATACATGCCGCTCGCCTACTGCTGGAGAAACACCGTGAGAAACGAAAGCCCGTGCATGTAGCCTTCCTAGACCTGGAGAAGGCATTCGATCGGGTGCCGCGTGATGTTATATGGTACGCTTTGAGGCGGCACGGCGTGCCCGAAGAGCTCATTGAATGGGTGCGCATCCTTTACTCATGCCCAGGGAGCCAACTTCGCTCACCAGCGGGTGTCTCAGTGGAGTTCCCCATCACCGTCGGGGTACATCAAGGCTCTGCGCTCTCCCCACTTCTTTTCGTGGCCGTCATGGATGCCATTTCACGAGATCTTCAGAAAGAAGTGCCATGGACCCTGCTTTACGCTGATGACGTGATGCTTGCTTGTGAAGATAAGAGCGCACTGGAACAGCAGGTGCAAGCTTGGGCCGAGCGTCTGGCTAAGTTTGGACTCAGGTTGAACGTTCAACAAAACCGAGTACCTGACAACTAACCCAAATGAGACGGGCTCCATTAGGATCGATGGCACGGTGCTCAAGCGCACGGAAACATTCAAGTATCTCGGATCAGCACTTGCGTCCGACGGCAGTCTGAACTAGGAAGTGAGCGCACGAGTGAGTGCCGCGTGGTCTAAGTGGCGATCCATGTCCGGGATCCTTCGCGACAAAGAAAATGCCAGAGCGGTTCAAATCGAAGATCTATCGTACTGTCGTCCGACCTGTCGCGTTATATGGTGCCGAGTGCTGGCCCGCGACCAAAGAAGTTGAGGCTCGCCTTGGTGCAATGGAGATGAAGATGTTGCGCTGGACGCGGGCGTCACGCGATCGGCCCGCATCTGTAATGATGTCATGCGTAAGAAGTATGGTGTAGCCCCCATAACGGAGAAAAATGCGTGAAACGCGCCTTCGAATGGTATGGGCACGTACTTCGCGCAAAGGATGATACCGTCCGGAAACTGCTCTCGAACTCGAGGTACCAGGTAAGCGGCCAAGGGACGTCCCAAACAGCGCTGGCTTGACACGTTGCATACCGACTTGAAAATAGCCGGCATCCACCCTGATCAGGCATCAATCGGGAAAAGTGGCGTAGTTGTATCAAAAGAGCGGACGCCGGCGATCAGCGGGACAAACGCTGAAGAATGAAGAAGAAGAAGAAAGAAGAGGAACATCTTGGGTATCTTCCGCCTTGGTACTCGCATCCACGTCCTCTGTCAGGGCAGCAAAAACTTTGCTGATTTGTGACTCGGTCGAAGTGACTTTTTTTGCCCCCCCCCCCTTATACATCCTTAGTCTCAACAGAACAGACACATGAGTGACTTGTAATCACTTATCAATAGTGGCAAAAGTTTTGCAAAAGATACATGTACATCCTTCTAAACAGACATCAAACGATACAGCCACAAGTCACCATAAAGAAAGGCTATACCACCGACAGAAATATAGGCACACATCAAAAAAATATTTTCACGAATCTTTTTTTAGAAAGGAAGATGGAACAGGGTGATAACTCACCAAGTGACTATTTGGCGGTCCACTGTTATCAAAGGAATGAGGAACAGGGCGATTCATGGGAGCACCAAAAGCTGCGAAAGGATCGGTGGCGAATAGGTCCAAGTCCGACGGCTTAAATTTATTGCTGTCACTCACCATGGAATATCGAAACATTAAGAGAGGAACCTTAAACCTATGGCTGTTTATTAACACACGGATGGGGGTGTAGGACGTTCCAGTCCACTTTTTCGCAATTCTCCCTTCATAGTGACAGAGTCGCCTGCGGTGTGACCTCAGATTGCTTGCTCGCTTCCTCCTGAGCTCTCATCGATTACGCTGCTCAATCAGTTATAACATGTTATAACACGAATGGAAAAAATATGAATCTAAAATGTGAAGAATAGCCCACCCTAAAAGAATATTGAGTTTCAAACCGATGTCAAGAGTGAGAAAAAACATGAAGACCTTTCATCTACTTGAAAATAAAGCTCTTTATTGGCACTTTATGGACGATATATAAAGAGATCATTAGCCCGGAAGCGGGTCAACATTTGCTGTGACTGTCAGCACTTTTCATTCTACTAAACCTCATTAACACGTTGACGACATTCTGAGCCACCGTGGCTCATGAGTGGGTGGGTACGTAGAACAATCT